GAGGGAGAGAGGAAGGAAGGGAGGGAGGAAGGAAGGAAGGGAGGGAGGAAGGAAGGAAGGGAGGAAGGAAGGGAAGGAGAGAGGGAGGAAGGAAGGGAAGGAGAGAGCAAGGAAGGAAGGGAGGAAGGAAGGAAGGGAGGAAGGAAAGAAGGAAGGGAGGAAGGAAGGGAGGAGGGAGGGAAGGGAGGAGGGAAAGAAGGAAGGAAAAAGGGAAAGAAGGAAGGAAGGAAGGAAAGAGAGAGAGGGAGGAAAGGAGGGAGGAAAAAAAAGAAAGAAAATTCCAGCCTTGGCACTAGGCTGATTGTGTTTTGCCTTTTACAATGCCCATTTCCATCTTTCCATTGTTCTTGGCAAGAAGTGTACATAAAAGGTGTCTGTAATAGGGCTTCTCTGATTGAACATCTGGTTATGTTATTCCATTTCACTTTTCCCCATGATAAGTTTGAGAAATCTAATGAAGAATAAATTGCCTTCCTGGAAAAAGTGAAATGTATTATGAACAATTTCAGAAAATGTGGCCCCTATATTTAAATATAATTAAGATAAAAGTTACATTGGACTTCAGGAGAAAAGTATCCCCTCTTCTTTATACAAGATGTGTTGTAAAACTGCATGGTAAAAAAATTGGCACAACTGAGTGTCCGTCTTGGATAAATCTTTTGGCATCAACAGCAGTCTGTCTCCTCTTTGTTTTAGTACTGCCCAAGCTATCTGCCTTGCGGATCAGCCAAAGCCTGTGAAGGAATACAAGTATCCTGAGAAGTTGCCTGGAGAGTTATACGATGCAAACACGCAGTGCAAGTGGCAATTTGGAGAGAAAGCCAAGCTCTGCATGCTGGATTTTAAAAAGGCAAGTGATTATCGGCAAGTGCTCAATGAAGTACGATTCATAAAACTGTTTTATTCGGTATTACTGGCATTGATGCATTCTGCATTTGTTGGGTACCTACCAAATGTCAAATTCTGTATGTTAGGGCTGGCCCTATATAACAGGAAACACCTGTTTTACTGGCAGAGAAAATAATGGTAGATAGTGTTGCAGGTATCAGTTTTCATTTGAGAACTAACTTGGTCTGTTAGGTTAGCTCTTTCTTTGTGATTTATCAGGTGGGAGCTCAGCAATAACTTTTGGTGGGTGTAAGTTGGCAAATTAATACTCTGCATATTTTTCAAATGGTATTAAGAAAATAATGTCCCGTTACATTCCTCTGATGTAAGCATAGTTTACTATAAAGCAGCAGCCTATCCAGGGCTTCTGATTATTAAATTCCCCAAGTAAAGTATTGATAGAGAGTTTCTCGTAGAGGGTGATATCTGCTCCGTCGACCCCAGGGACATCAACAGCATGGTTTCCCAATGTAAAGTCCTCATATAACACAGAGAGACGTGTGTTGTTGCCAGACAGGAAAAAACGAGATTTAGGAACTTGCTCTACTGAACCACAAGGAAAGCTACCCATAAATTAAATCAAAGTAACTATTTTCGAGGTTTCTTTTATTCTAGTTTATAACGAAATTAAAAGCTACATGGAGAAAAAACATAGTCCTCCAGAAACCTCCAAACATTTCAGAATGCCCTAGGAATATTCCCAATTTAAACCTAAGGTGATAATCTTCTTTCTTCTCAGCTCAAGTAGAGCTCCCCTAAAGATCAGTTACAGCCATGTGCCAGAAATGGATTCTTATCTCCTCAGCTAGGCAGTCTCAGCGTGGAACAAGGGTAATAAATCAGTCAGCATCAGCATATATTCCCAACGTTGCCTTTTCTGTGGCAGAATATGTGAATTCCCTAAGAATTTCTTGAATGTTACTCTTCTGTGTATAAGGAAAAGAAGCATAAAACTAATGTTTTCTTTCAAAGATGAGATTTTCTACATCATACTTCTTGTTTCCACATTGTTTTCTCTCTGACCATGGACTGTGTAATCTATGGTACCGTATAGTGCCATTTGGAAGATACAGAAAAAAAGAAATTAATGCAGCATGTCTTGTTATTACTGAGGAAATATTTACATGCAGTGAAATGCATTCGTTTTAGGTGTACAATTGGAATTTAACAAAAAATGTATTCACCCATGTTACCAGCATCCCAATCAAGATATGGCTTATTTTCATTCAGCCAGTAAATTTTCTTTTGTCTCCTTCCATTCAATTCCCTCCCCACCTCTGTAAACAACCATTGGTCTGATTTTTATCACCATAGATACGCTTTGCTTATTCTGGAACTTCATAATTGCCAAATAAAGTGTTTAATATTTCACTGTTAAATCTGCTGTTAGCTGTGGTTTTACGTAGTTACCCTTTATCAAATTGAAGAAGTTTCTGGTCCTAGAATGTTGAGAGATTTTATCACAGAAATGTGTTGACTTTTGTCAAATTATTTTTTCTACATCTATTGATATAGTTGTATCATTTTTCTCTTTTATTCTGTTAATGTGGTGAATTATATTGGTAGGTTTTAATTTTTTTTCTTTGATTTTTGGGTGTTAAGCCAACCTGCATTCCCGAGATAACCCCACTTGGTCATAATCTATTACTCACTTTTACATTTTGCTGATTTGATTTGGGAGTATGTTGTTCAGGATTTCTACACCTGTGTTCTTGAGTGATATTATTTATAAATCTTGTTTTCTTATAATTACCTGTCAAGAATTTCTATCAGAGTTATGCTGACCTCATAAAATGAATTGAAGCGAGTTCTGTCTGTGGGAAGGTTTTTGTAATTACTAATTCAACCACACTAATATTATAGGGTTATTTAGAAGAAATTCCTACTAGGCTGATCAAATTCTTTGGAAAAATGAAATTATCCAAAATGACACAAGAGAGCTTTTCCAATGAATTTCTCTGTTTTATCTATGTTCTTGATTTTTTAGCAAAAAATTGTTTATAATATTCTCATTTATCCCTTTAATGATTATAAGATCTATACTGATATATCCCCTTTTATTCCTAATAGTGGTAATATGTGTTTCTTTGTCTTCCTTTCCTTGATCAGTCTAACTAGGAGCTTATCAGATTAATTAATCCTTTCAAAACAACATCGATGTTTGGCTTTGTTAATTTTTTTTTCCTGAGGAAGATTAGCCCTGAGCTAACATCCATGCCAATCTTTCTCCACTGTGTACGTGGGACACCTCCACAATGTGGCTGGTGAGTGGAGTAGGTCCGCACCCAGGATCCAAACCCACAAACCCAGGCCACCAAAGCAGAGCCTGCAGAACTTTAACCACTCAGCCACGGGGTCAGGCCTTTGTGAATTTTTTAAAAAAATTGTTGTTGGATTCTTTTCTATTTTATTCAGTTCTTTCTTGTCTTTATTATATTTCAAGGCTTAATGTATCTATTTTTTTTTTTATTTTTAAGGGATAAACTTGGATCATTAACTTTAAAACTTCCTTCTTTTCCTAATATAACCATTTAACTATATTTAAAGTATTAATTTTCTTCCAAGCAACATATTAGTTGTGTCCTCAATATTTTCACATATTGATTTTTTAATATTATTAAGTATAAAATATTTTTAAGTGGTGATTTTTCTTTAACTCATATTATTTAGAAGTATATTATTTATTACTAAACAATTGGTGATTTTCTAGATAGCTTATTAATTTTGATTTCTAATTTAGTTCAATTTTGTTCAGAGAATACACTCTATAAGTATACTTTTGAAATTTTTGCAATGTGTTTCATAGCAGCATTTGGTCTATCTTGGTGAACATTCAATGGGCATTTGGACTGAATGTGAATTCTGCAGTGGTTGGGTGTAGTGTTCTAGAAATATCTATTCCATTCATTGGTTTGATATATTATTTATATCTTTTATATCCTCCATGACATTTGCTACTTGTTATATCAGTTTCATAGATATGAGTGTTAAGATCTCTAACAGTGATTATGTATTTTTCAATTTCTCCTTTTAGAGCTATTAGTTTTTGCTTCGTATATTTTGAAGCTGCATTATTAGCTGCATACACATGTAGGATTATTATGTCTTCCTGACTCTTTCATGATTAAAAATTATCCTTCTTTATTGTTGGTAATGATGCTTTTCTTGAATTCTACCTTATCTGCTATTAATATAGCTACAACAGCTTATTTAAGAATACTTTTTGCATGATATCTTTTTCCATTCTTCTACTTTCAATTTATCTGTGTTTTTACATAAAATGTGTCTGTCGTAAACATCCTTTAATTTGGTATTGCTTTTCTATCCAGTTGAAGCATCTCTAACTTTAACTAGAATATTTAATCCATTTATATTTAATGTAATTTTTGATATAGGGGATTTAAGTCTACCATTTTGCTATTTGTTTCCTATTGTTCTTATTTCTCATTTCTCTGTTTCCTTTTTGATTAAACTTCTTTTTAAAAGTTCTATTTTTTGCCGTGATTTGTTTTTTAGCTATACTTTCTTGTAGTAATTTTTAGTGGTTGCTTTAGAGATAACAGCTGCCTCCTTAATTTACAATCTGTGTAAAATTAACGTTGTTTCACTTTATGTGAACTACAGGATCCTTACAGCAAATAAGTCCATGTATCTCTCCTCCACATTTTGTATTATTGTTGTTATGTATTTTATTTCTACGCATGTTAGAAGCCACATGATGCAGTGTTAAAATTTTTGTTTTGAAATAGTCGGTAGCTTTTAAATAAAAACAAAACAGATATAAATAGATCATCTTTTATATTTATCCACATATTTACCATTTAGTATACATGCTTTCTTATAAATCAGTTCCAAATTGTATCATTTCCTTGGGGCCTAAAGAACTTCCTTTAACATTTCTTGTAGCCCGGATCTGCTGGCCACAAAGTATCTTAGGTTTTTTTAAATCTGAAAATGTCATTAATTCACCCTCAGTTTTGAAGAATAGTTTTCATGAATGTAGAATTCTAAGCAGTTTTTTATTTATTCTTTTTTTCATTTAGATAGTTTAAAGATATTATTCTATTTTCATCTGGACTCAGTAGTTTCTGATAAAAAATTGGTCATCATTTTATCTTCCTTCTACCATTTCTAATCATTTGTTTAGACAATTCAACAGACTATACCTTTGGGTTATTTTATGTTTCAGTTCCAGAATTACCATTTGGTTCTTTTTTTGTAGTCTATATGTCTTTACTGAAATTCCTGTTTCTTCATTCATTATGTCCCCTTTTTCATTTATAGCCTTGAATATATTTATAACATATTATGAAACATTATGATTTTATGTTATATATGTTTATATTGTATTATTATAATAAGTGAATCCTTTTGATTCTCTGAGGCTTTGTTTTGTTATTCCTTAGTGTTCCTCTATTTCAGTTTTTCCTTAGCCCTAGGGTATAGCCTGTACTCTAGTTTGTGGTTCTTACTCATGGGGCATGGACTCTGGGCTCTCCACTGCATGCCCAGGAAGCTCACTGAGGTGTCTTCACTCTGTGTCTGCCAGAATTCTGACGTCTTCCAGCACTGTGCAACCTCTGTCTTCCAGCCCTTATCAGCTTTCAGCCTGCACCTGCTGCCCTCTGCTAGGCCACATGGAGTTTCATCTTACGCATCAGCTGTCCATCTCTCAGATAAAGATTTGCAGGAAATTTTCCTGCAAACATCTGGAGACTCCTACTCAACACAGCTTTTTCCTTTCTGGTCCCATTCCCATGAATTCTAGCTACTTCTGCAGGTGTCAACTCCAGTCTCTGCATCCTCCATTCAGTGAGACTGCTGTTATCTGCCTGTGATCCACCTCTCTGCACCAGCGTCAGCAAAGGGCTACCAGACAAAGAGCTGTGACAAAGGTGGCACTCACCTTATGAATTTCCATTCTTTTGAGGATCGTGTGTTTCCTGTTGCAAAAGTCTAAGACAGTTGGCCCATATATTTTGTCTAGTTTTATAGTTTTTTTATGCAGAAAAGTAAACCAGGTGCCAGTTACTTCATCATGGAGAGTAGAGGAAATACCTTTGAAATAAAATATATATATATATATATATGCTCATCAAAATCAATAATGTTAGCCCCTTTCCCATGACGTAAAATTGTTCTGCAACACAAATAAATTTGACCTATTTTTTTTGTAAGTTAAATTCCAATTGTGTGGCCAGAATCTCTAATATACTGAATCTCAAATTTCAATATGGTGTGGTAATTAGATTCTTTATTTTCCATGTGAATTGAAGCAACTCAGGACATTTTCAATTGTAAAATTTAATTTTTAAGTGAATTCCTACTGAAATTTTATGAAAATGGGTCTATTTTGTTAGGTTGAAATGTAAAGGTCCAGAATTTTTTCTGATGGGAGAATGTAAAATAATAATAACAAGCAAATTACCCAGTGCATAAACCAGCGCTTGGCACACAAGGGCCGTGCAATAAAAATCTGCTGAGCAGAGTGATAGATGGATGGGTAATATTTTAGAAAGAGATGAACCTCTTTTAAGTACCATACGCTATTTAGTTTGAAAAGTTAATAGATGATGCAAATGCATATGCATCCTTCTCTTGGATAAATAAGTATGCCTTTGGTGTGTATGTATACATGTTTACATACTTGTGTATAAATTCACACACATATATGGCCATGGAGTTCTCTGTCCACTGATACCTTGTATAATTATAAACAGAATTAGAGATAAAAGGACCCCACTACTTGAAAAAGAAATAATTGCAGTAAATTATATATCCCATTATAAAATTATTTGTAAATGCATTTTCAGTTTGTATTTTTCGAGAGTCTAATACTGACAACTTGAGAAAATGAATCCAATGACACTCCATTCACAATATGGAAATGCCACAATAAATTTCCAACCCAGTCTTCTGAAAATGTTGGCTTTATTTAGGGTGTTGGGTTATGGTGTTAAACTTAACCAAGTCAGTAGAACTGAAATTGTCTTTGTGAACATAGCTCTTAAATTATGGCATAGCATAGCAAGTGAGAGCCTTCATTAAAGATAGCGTTCCTTAGCTACAAAGAGAAAGCAAGAGTGAACTCTCTACAGGGGCTTCCACTTTTTTCTTCCTGAGTTAAGTATTAATTATTATAAACATTGTGTCTTTATCAAGTACCTATTCTGCTTTGTCAACGTTGCTTGGTGGCCTGACCCTGCAGTCTGAAATACAAGCTGCCAGAATTACTTTGAAATTTGATCCCCTTAGTGTCCTGGGTACTGCTGTTAAATTGGGAGCTCCCCCCACGCCCAGCACGTCTACATTCCAGCTCCCTGGCCCTAGAACCTTGATTTAATAGGCTCTTTGTTCCCAGAGGACCCTGAAGTTTCATTAAGAATGTAATGACCTACAACAACAATGCGTAATTTAAGAAAATCGTGCATTATGTCCAGAAGTTAACAGCTAAGTCAAAGTGTGATAAAAGTGAGAAGGAGGAACCAGTGTTTGGTTGTTTGGTTGTGGCTTAATGTTCATTTTATTATCTAATTCTTTGAGATACTAGAATTTTTATTTATTTTTCAGGATAGAATGTCACGTTTTTATTAAATGGCAGACAATTACATCTGTAGGATACCAAGGGCTCAAATGCTTTTTGATATGTTGAAAAACAGTAGCATGGATTATATGATATTTCAAGGCTCTTCTAACTCTATGATTTATTTCTGCCCAGAAGACTGGAATTGGGATTGAGCAGGTTCCAGGAAGAGGCTGAAATACATAGACACAGACTGAGTTAGTGAGTCGCATGTTTTAGTGGTGAGCTGACTATCACCAGCATCCTATATGTGACAGCTTTATACTTAGGAAAGTTAAAAACCATTGCTTTTAATAGTATCTTCCATCTGTATTTCTTTATTCTGCAAAATGTTCCAAAAAAACCACAACGTAAGAATATCCTGAAAATACTCTGAATGGTAGAGTCTAGATCTAGTATCTTCATGTAATAAGATGGCCCTCTTAAGTCGTCTTAGATGTTTTTATGATCATAATTCACTGATAATTATTAATTTCATTTTACACTAAAAAGTTCCTGATCATTTCGTCCATGCCTTCCACAGGAACAAGCTAACAGATATTCGACTCGCTCAGAAAGCATTTATTGAAAGCTGGCTGGGTACTGAGCATTGTGCCAGGTACCAATGACAAATTTATCAAAATAATTTAACATTTTAAAACACCATTTGTTTTATATCATCATGGATAATCTTTGAAATGGCCCCATGAGTTAGTATCACCAACTCCCTAAAGCCACAGCCACGAGCCCAGGCTGAGAGCTGTGATTGTGCTGTGATTGGTGCCTATTAGATGCAGGCCCTGAGTTGGACATGTTACCTGCAACCACTTCCTTTAGCCTCCAGCACAAGTCAATGAGTGGGTGTTGCCATCCTCAAACATACATAAAGGACATTGGGGTCCTGCCTGCCCAGATCTGCCCTTCCTGATCCACATCGGATCTGCCTACCTTCTCGGAAGATCATACATTTTTCTGGACCACTGTGGCCATCTCTCTGCTCGCCTAACCACAAGAGCAGCTTCTTCTTTCCATCCACCCATTCATTTGTTTACCCATTCATGCATTCATTTGTTTATGTGTGCATGCCCAGCCTCCTGAATCAGTAGGTCTCTATGTCCCATCCATCCAGTCAGTCTCAATTAGCCACCACTCAAGCGCAGGTATATCAACTCTGCATTGCTGTCCAGACTCTGGTTTTGATCCACCGTATTGCCACCCATTGAGCTTTGGGGTCCAGGAGCTCCAGTTTCAAGGAAGCATTATTTATATCCTGATATTGTATCAAGGTGTCATTCCTGCAAGCAGACGGAGCTTTCCCAGTTGTCTCTTCGGAGAGTTACAGACACTCAGGCTCCTGCTTGTATGGATTCCTTGAGGTCTTTATATGGCTCTGCTCTCTAAATGCCATTCTGATCAAGAACAGAAGCCCCCAACACAGTACACTAATTAATGTTGTGAGAGTCAGGCAGAGCACTAACCACCAATGTGACACATTTACTCCAATAGCCTTTACTGATCCTGGAGGACTCGCAAGAAAGAAATTTAACAGAACAGTAGTTGTAACTATAGGAGAGTATCATGAATACCTCAGAATAAAAGTAATTGATATCTGAATTAAAACATCGAAAATTTAATTCTTAACATTCCAAGTTCCAAAAAGCTGACTTATTAGTGAGAGAGAACAAGCAGAAAAAAATATGACTGTGTCTTTAACAAATACCTTAACTTCTAAATATATAATAATTAAATTTAGAGAGAAGATTTGAGAACTGGTTTTATAAAGGTAAAATTAATATGGGTTATTGAAAATAAACCCTTCGAGAGATGACTCGCACAATGCAGAAAACCTCCCTGTGAGCACATCTTTTACATCATTGAAATAAGAAATGAAAGCACTAATGCAGTGAAATGCCATCTTTCCAGGAGAACTATGTTGAAATTTTGCTGTGCTGCGTTTTCTTTATAATACAAACCATCCAGTAGATGCAGCCATCAAATATCCTGGGAAATAATGCAGGACTTGTTCAAATATTCAGAACAGTTGTGCAGATAATTTAAGAAACATTTTCTTCATGTGCAATTGAAGCTACCACGAGCATTCCTAAAGTTTCTATCATTTTATGAGTCCTGCTGTTTCCCCTTCCCTAAGACGTTCCTTTGGGCTCAAAAAAATATGAAAGTAAAAATAATTCTTTATACTTGGAGTGGCTTTTATAAATCTCAGATCTTGTTTTATTTTGCTGCCATATCAGCTATGTGGGTCTTCCTTCCTCTGCACACACCTTTTTTTCCTTTGCACAAACCCTTCATTCCTTTTCTGTTGAATGCCATTCCCTCTCCCCCGACAAACTCCTTGAGCTCAAGAGCTGGCTGGGACATCGCATCTTCTCTGACTCCTTCCCTAAGTCCTCTAGGTGAATCCCTTTCCCTTTCTGACGGGCTCACCTTGCACTCTGTTCTTCCCTCTGTAGGGGCACATACACCATATGGTGATTTACAACAAATTTATCACTATAAGACCAAGCTCCAGAGGGTAGGTCTTGGTCATATTCCCTATGAAACCTCTCACTAGCAAGGCACCTGACATATTCTAGGCCTTCATCAAAGGTCTGGGGATGGTGGATGGATGGATGGATGGATGGATAGATGGACAAGCCAGCAAGTTTTATAACAATCTTTAATTTGGAAATAAGGATTCAGACTTGGATAGGTTAGTGGAAGGTGGAGTCAAGAATAAATTATAAAATGTTTGGTTTTATTGGTTTTTTAATTTTAATTTTTTGTAGTTTTCTGCAGCATCTGGATTAAGCATACTTTACTTTTTAATTTAGAAAATATGATTTTGTTAAATTTATGATGAATAAATACAAATAAAGTTTCAGGGGTGGAATTAACTTGAACCAAGTTTGGAACAGGTCTTCTGAATCTTTACTTTATCATATGCATCTACTGCTAAGTAGACATCAGCTTTCAATTTGTTTCAGTTGTTTTTTCCTTAAATTTTCGAGTGATATTTTATCATAGATGTATGGACCATTTGTAATACTAATGACTTTTTTCCCCTTTAGGATATCTGTAAAGCCCTGTGGTGCCACCGGATCGGCAGGAAATGTGAGACTAAGTTTATGCCAGCAGCAGAAGGCACTGTTTGTGGGCACGACATGGTAAGAAGCTAATCTTAGGTACATATTCAGATGTCAGAGTCTTTCAACCAAGGCATTTTTCCTCCTCATGCACTGGTATTTTTCAAGCTTATCTTTCTCATATGTACGTGCATACCTACACCCGTGTCAAAAGACCATGCTTGATTTATGTTGATACTGTGAGGAGGACTGCTTTTCTCACTTTTCCCATGATGTGATTGATGAGCTATCTGGAATTAATAGACAGATGTCGGGCAACAGGTGATGACTGAATCTGTTTAATAAGGGGAAACGTTAAACCCTTGACCACCATTTAACCACGTAAAGAACCAGCATTAAGTTGTTCTGTTAAAGCCACAGAGCATTGATTTGAAGACCCTGGAGCAGACTATTTTGACCTATTTTTGCTCCTGTGAAAAAAGAGAGAAGCTGTGGTAGGGAAAAGAAGAAATACAGAAGACAGCAAGCTTATTACTAACTGGTAGAGAATGATCATTTTGTCACTGAAACTGAAAAAAATAAATTATCTTAACACCCAAGAGTAATATTTTGATTTTTTTAATTTAATCTGTGACTGCATTGTTTTTTTCAGAATATAAAAGACTCTTGATAAAGATAAAAATATATTGGACCCAAATTATCACTGTAACCATGTATCTGACCTTCTTAGTTATACTAATGAATATGAAAGGGAAATATATGCCTAAATATCATTGATCTATATGTTTAAATTCCAGAATAATTATATTTAAATGTCAGCATGTAGAGAAAGGAGTTAAAATGTTAATAAGCAAAGCTAACATATGGTTTTAGGTTAAATTATTGCAATACCGACTGAGGAAATGAGGAGAAATGAGGTAAACTTACTTGAAATAGCAGCCAACAACCATTCTTCCTATGCACCTTAATATGCTTTATTTTCAGTCCCTCAAAGAGGGTAAGATTGATCATTAAATCCTTCAGTGATATAGGCAGCAGTAGTTAAATTAATCCATGACAAAAAAATCTAATAATAATGCTTTTAATTTCTTGAAAGAAGAAATGGATATGCTGAGGGACTACAATGCAGAAATACCAGTTGTCACAGGACACCAGGGAATTTACCCGAGCATTATCTTCAGATGATCATGACTTTTTACACATAATTGATTAAAATTTATTCTTCAGGTTATAATTTGCAAAATTATGCCTTTCTTGAAAGATTAGCAGCCTTTTCGTTGTTGCCCTTGAGTTTTTATTCTCGCAGGTGATGGTGGTTCTCTAAGACTCCTGCTATCTTCATGGTCATGTGCTATTTCTCCCTGGGTGATGTGATAGCTGTAGTGCTTCCTCAAAATAACCCATATGTTCTTGTTACACTAGATTTACTTTGAAAGCACAGTTAAATTGATTTTCATTGGTATTTTCTGTTATTTTCCTTTATGTTTCCAAATATAGCTTTTTCCTTCATGTTGAAAAGAATTAGGGCATGTTAAGCCAGAATAAGTGCCTGCAAATTACACAGCAATAACGTCATCTGCCCAGGGTCACGTGGTTGCTCAGTGGCCATGGTGGGAAGAGCATCAGAGTCTCATGGAAAGTTGGTGTTAGTTGTGTGTCTTCGTGTATTGTTGGTTCACATGTGTCTGTGAGGGTTATCGATTTAGAAGTGTGCATTACCAGAAGTCAGTATCTCAAGACTTTGAGATATTCCAGAGCAGTTGGTGTGTTCTAGATGACTGACCATGACGCTATTGCTTCTGTGCACTTTTCTTTTGGATGGAAACCTGTTTCCCTCCACCCTGCTGCTGCCCTTGAGGCTCCACGTGGTTGCGCATGGTGGTAGACTAGACTAATCTTTATTTCATTTTTTAACACCAAGCTCTATACTTAGTACATTACCTACATTTAATCCTCGCAACCACCCTGTGGGCATGAGCCTATTGCAGCCCCCATTGTTCACTCAAGAACTCATCTGAGAAAAGGACTCTGGGTTCCTCTGTGTTGATACTGTGAGAAATCCAAGGCAAAGGGTCAGAACCACAGCCTGCATACATGCCAGAGTGAATTCTAGTTCTTTAGTAATCATGGATCCCTAACGTACAACTAAACCAGGACTGACTTTGTAATTACATCACATATGGTGCTAGCACTCAGCCTGTGTCATTACACTGGATCTTGGGAACAACTCAGTCTGGTGGTTGTCCCTAATGTTCACAGGAGGACATGCAGGCTCAGAGCACGCGAGTCACGTGTCCAGGTCACACAGCTGGCAGAACGGGTATTGAGGCTCATTTTCTACTCCACGGTGTCCCATTTGTACTTGATGACATTACTTCCCTGTGTGGACTGGGTTTAGGTGTGACGCGGATTCTGTGAGCTGTGTCACAACAGGAATGTGCGACATCTTACTTTCTAAGATAAAGCCTTCTTTCATAAGCCACACTCTCCATCAACAAAATGTAAAATTGTGATAAACACGGGACAGTCCTCAGAAACTTAAAGGGAGTTTCAGAGGGAATTTTGTACGTATATTTAACACAGGATTCTTACCCGTGACCTACTCACTGCTGGACTCCACAGATCTGTAATCTGCGTGAAATTATACTCAAAATTGTGTGTGCATTGTGTGTGTGCGTGCCTGTGCTTGTGTGTCTACATGCACCTGTGTATCCCCCCAACCTCCTTGGGAGAAGATATAGTACTTTCTCCTTAGATTCTCAGAAAGTTTTTCTAAAAATAATTTTTAAAAGGATAGTCATTTAAGGGCACTCTGGCAAAGAAAGCAAAAGATGCATTTGCAAAACCATTAATTTAATTGAAAGAAAAGACTGGAAATGATGAAAATATCCATGAAGAAGAGACTGGTTGAAAGAACACCCAATGGAATGTTATGTAGCTGCAACAAAGAATGAGGAATCTGTCTATATACTTATGGAATGATCCACAGAACATGTTAAATGGAAAAAAAGTTGTGTAGTGTGCTATCATTCCCCAAAGCAAAGGAAGTACTAATCTATATAATCATTTTCTTACATTAAAGTATAAAAGGATAAACCCTAAATTTTGAAAAAAAAAAAAACATGTGAACATTCTGTGCAATTCAAAACAAAATTAAATCAAATTTTATTAAAGTAATCCCTAAATACCAAAAGCAAAATTAAATAATCTGACCTAAATGTGTATCAAGTTGTTGGTTTAATCATAATCATAACAGAGGAATTATTTCGAGTGACTTTAAAACCTGAAAGTATTTTCTGAGTTATCCTCCTTGTTGATTCTTGCTTTCGTGTTTGCTGTCTTCTGAATTAGAAAGCTCTGACCAGATGGTTTTTAAAAATGGAACATAAACAATCACAACAAACACTCGGCTTCTTTCTGTGTGAAACAAGCCACACAGAGCTTCATCTGTCCCTACAAGGCTGGGGATGCTGTCAGCTCCCCTGTGTCAAGAAGTGCTCATCAATGTTAATTCATGCTCAATTCCATGTGGTTTTGTCACTTTCAGCACCCGTAAAAGCTACACAAGATCTAACACTGTGTTCAGTGGCATTGGTTTTTCCACCCATGGTTTGGTATATAATTTGGACTTCTCCCTTCTTCCTCCATGGTCCTGCCTTCTCTGCACTCCAGGTCTCCTGTCTCACTCATGAGGCTCTCGGGTGAGCCGGCCCCTGTTTCCAGCTACACATCTTTCATGGAGCTGAGGGGGACAGAAGCACTGTGGGACTTCTTTCTGTCACCTGGGGCGAAGGCTGGTGGTAACGAAAGAGAGACTTATTTTGTTGCTTGTAGGACAGAATCAAAGAAGTGAATGGATGAGACTTTGGTCCTCAGAATTACTTATGTTTTTTAATTCAATTTTTCTTCCTTAAATAATATTACATCGAACCATGTGTAATTGCCATTTCTACATGCCAACAATGGCCAAATATCAGTGATTTGATGTTTTAACCTAACACATCAATTAATAATTGAAGTTTTGTGATTTTCCTGTTTTAAAATCAGCATTTTTTTCTCTCAGTACAAATCTGGCGGCTCTAATCTTGGGGCTAGAAGAGTAGGGTTCACCTCACCCCTCACCACGAGATCCAGGCTCTGCTGCTCCATGCAGGCCAGAGACAAGGGACAAGCATCTTCCTTTCCTCCTCTGAACAGAGGGCCTGGGTCTTTAAGAACCTCAGTCTACACCAAACCATGGGTGGAAAAACCAATGCCACTGAACACCATGTTAGATCTTGTGTAGCCTTGACCGGAGGTGGAAGTGACGAAACCACATGGACTTGAGCGTGATTAACATTGATGAGCACTTCTCTTGAGAGAGGGGAGCTGATAGCATCTCCAGCCTTGTAGGGACACATGGAGCTCTGTGTGGCTTGTTTCTTCTCCTCCTCAGAAAGCTGTGTGACCTCTGACCTGCTTCAGTTAATAACCCCAGGCTCAGTGCCCAGGTGCTTTAGAGTGAAAGCACAGAGCACCGACCAGAAATGACAAGGTGTTGAGTCATAGGGAAGCTCCAGCTGGGCTTTGCTACTGGAGACCCAGTCTCTTCTGAAAATGAGATATGAAAAGCACGTTGTTTTCTGGAGAGGTTAGAGTCCCCTCCCTTGAGAGTTGAACAATCAGGCTGAACATTCGTGCAACACTGCTTCATTAAACATGTTAAGTTCCAGCAGCTCAGTTGTTAGAAGATGATTTTTCTATTCATCCTCCCTTTACGTGGATTTATAAAATGACGCTGGGTTTGGAAAGTAAAACAAAGCAACATTAAATGTATTTGTATTATGTGCTACTTGAGGGTAAGGATGTTAATATCTGCTTGTTTTACCAAACTCTCCATGACTGAGCATCACAATAGTGATGAACCCACCCATCTGTCCATGAGACACAGCAATTTTTTTTTTTTTAATTTTTAGTGGTGCCGTGGAGGGCAGTGTGTAAAATACGGTGATGAAGGCCCCAAGCCCACCCACGGCCATTGGTCCGACTGGTCTCCCTGGTCTCCTTGCTCCAGGACCTGCGGAGGAGGGGTGTCTCACAGAGACCGCCTGTGCACAAATCCCAAGTAAGCACGTCTCGACTTCCCTCCGCACGAATGAGCAATTTCTATGCTGCGAACCTTCCAAACAGCTTTTGTACCTAAGCTCAGTAACATTAATTCTCTACGTCACGTATTATTGTAAGAAACACCAAGTAGGAAAGCATTTTACTCAAGAATTTGTTAAAACAATGATGTCTCTTTGATATAATTTAAGATACTTATAACCACCTGACCAGAGCAAAAAATAACAGACCCAACAATGATATTCAGGAAATGGATTTTAACCACATTTATGTGAAATACCAAGGGTCTACCTAAAATAAGTAAATAGATCATAAGAAAAGTATAGAGAACACAAGTGAATAAGAATCAATAAGGACAATTCATTCATGTGAAAAGAAAACCAAATTTTTGTTTTTTTAATTTACTTTTACAACATGAAGTTTAATTCTGGCCCACTGTTAGAAAACAGGAGTGTTAAAGCAGTCACCCATGGAATGGAATGAAAGGCTATTTGAATCCTCCTTTTGCACCTATATTTGTTTAAGACATAAGAATATTACCGTTATTTTAGTCCTGTCTTACTGCGTGAGACCCAGTAGGTCCCCTGCATTGACAGGATGCCCTTGGCCTGAGTGTCCACGTGTATTTTCCGGGGTGAGCAGGGGGTGTTTGCTGTCAGCGACAAGCAGCAGAAGGCAACTGGTTCTGCGCACACCATCTGGTGTCCTGGCCTTGTCACAAGGAAGCTGGTAGTGGAAAGAAGTTTCCATCTGGGAAGCAAAGTAGTTGAATTTCAGTCTCAGTTCTGCTTTCTATCAACTGTGCTATCCTGGGAGAGCCACCACCCTCCCTTGGTCATCCCCTCCTTTATAAAATGTGGAAAACAGCGATGCTTACCCTGTCTTCTGCAGAGGGATGCTGGGAGGTGGCAATGAACGAATACAGGCATACCCACTTTCCACACTCTAACCTGTTCTTCCAGTGTTGTAAATTATACACTCAGTAGAAAAGGAAAACACTACCCATATTGTTAATATGTAAGAAAATGCCAATATCTACTTAGAAATGCACTTTTCTTGATTGGTCACTGTAAGTAATTTAACATGATCTGCTCCATCTCTCTAATAAGCCTAAAATTTCAAGGAAGGGGTGAGTAGCTATTAAAATGTAAAGTTTCTAACTACGAAATATTCGTTCCAGACCATCGCACGGAGGGAAGTTTTGTGAGGGTTCAACTCGCACTGTGAAGCTTTGCAACAGTCAGAAATGTCCCCACAATAGTGTTGACTTCCGCGCCATGCAGTGTGCCGAATACAATAGCAAACGGTTCAGAGGATGGCACTACAAGTGGAAGCCTTACACTCAAGTAGAAGGTAAATCTCAAATCCCACTTTCCCATAATAGCCTTGTACTGTGTTATCTTTACTCAGTAAAGAATGAGGTGATTGATAGTACGGTGCTCAGATAAACCAGATATCACCATGTGAGGTCAATGTCGCAGAGTCTTTTCTTGCGGTTAGTTTGATTCTGCCTGCCCCATGGCCACTGGCATCTTATCTAAACGTGACCAGCTGTGTGGTCGGAAATTAAAAAGCCAGATAGAGAGCATGTGCATAATACCAGGAAATCTTCAAAGAAGTGATTAAAAATTCAAATTAGATGATTTACTGATAATAGATCAATGTTTTTTTAAATTCCAAATCACAGTAGTTGATGGTGTTGTTGCTATAAGCATGTCACTCATTGAACACTTGTAACTGTCAAAGATGAAAGAAAAATTTTAGTATCTTTTGGAAAATTAGATATACTATCAAGTATGTAAAATCAAGTATACTATATTCGGAAAGCCTTGATCTAAAACTATAAACCAAGAAGTTTATTTGTACCATATGTAAGATTTTACTCTTCAGTTGGAGAGAAATATGTATTATTCTTTTGATTATAATAACTTGAACTTGGTAGCTCAAGTGACACAATTTAAGGAGAAATTCAAAGAACACTTAATCATCTCATTCTTTGAAACTAGGCATATTGTCCGGCAATGCTTGGAAATTACATAAGCTGGGCCATCTCATCTGACGTTTACTTGCATCATCCCAAAATATATAATGTTTTCACTGTGAGAGCTTTACGAAGTTAGTAAATTCTGAAAGGAAAATCGTAAGCAGTTTCACACAAAGCATTTCTGGTTGTACTTTTACTCCTAAACTCGGTAAAAATTAAGCCAATGAGAAACGAGTAGGCAGCAGAAAAAAGTAGGCAGAATTTTGAAATTGGGGTCAAAAAATATGTGTGCCACTCTTGGCTTTTCTAGTCTTCAGTAAAGAAGTTCATTAATCGTGAAAGCACGTGCTAAGTTTGATTCTTAGAATCATTCAGTTGGGTCTCATGTTGTACAATAAAGAAAATATTTGTAGATGAGTCTTGGTCCTGTGAAAACTCCTAACGCAGACAAAATTCTCATCATCAACTGTTCCCTTCTTTACCAAGAAGAGAATAAAGGGAAAAAAGTTTTCTACAAAAGTTCATATTAACTGTATAAATCGTAAATCCTTGAAATGGATTATTGAGAGAGGAGGCGAACTTGATCTGCCAGTCTTAAATATATAATGATACCTGTATTCTCCACATATCAGTATTTTTTGACAATCATTATATTTACAGAAAACATTGTTCTCTGGAAATTTCATTTAAAAGTTATTTCTTTTATCAGTTTAAAAATCTTATGTATTTCATCAAATGCATTAGTTATAAGAAATTTGGTGATTATTTTAATTCTTCTATTACATTTTATTTGTAAGGATTTTGTATGTTGCTACAAAATGGTAGTGGCTTTTTGTGTTGCTACAAGAGAGTAGTTAATTATACTAGTAAAATAGTCGAACAGTAATGTTGTGGTTCAAGTCAACAAATATTTATTGACTGCCTACTATGTGCCAACCACCGTGTAAAGAACAAGAACTCTGTAAAGGACACAGTAGAGTAAAAATTAATAGTGAAGCTTTAAAAAAAGAAAACAAAAAGTAAATAAAAGGGGAAAAAAACAAGCCTAATAAGAAAATCATTAAAAAAATGTCTTTGCAATGTGTTATTGTGTGGGAGTTATTTTATGGGCAAAAAAGAAAAAAAAAGTCTATCTAAAATTTAGAGCAAAAATGATCAGAGCTTAAGTATCTTTCTTATTTGTGTTTGTGTGTGTATTTCTTTTTAAGATCAGGACTTATGCAAACTCTACTGTATCGCAGAAGGATTTGATTTCTTCTTTTCTTTGTCAAATAAAGTCAAAGATGGGACTCCATGCTCGGAGGATAGCCGTAATGTTTGTGTAGATGGGATATGTGAGGTAATAATGATTGTTCATTCATTCAACAAACATCTCCAGACAGTCTGCTTTGTGCCAGGCATCCTGTAAGGGGCTAGAGATACCAGACATTTAAAACATGTCCTTTCCCTCCAAGTCACAGCCCAGTGGGGGAGAAAGCCAGATGAACACATATTGAGACAGACAGTGGTTTGTTGCAATGGAGGTGTGTACAGAGCATAGGGAGAAGGGAAGAGCCGATCCCCTCTTAGATGTGTATCTGGGAGATGTTCAGGGCTCCTTGGAGAAGGGAGCATCAGAGCTAAATCTGAAAGGGTGAGTTAGAAGAGGAGTGCTAGGGGAAGCAGAGAGGGGAACATGGTGGTACAGGACAGCATGAGTTGGTAGGAACGGATTCAGCCATCAGAGTAGCTGGAAGGCAGGCAGGGCTGCGGGAAGTGAGTTGGGGAGAGGCTCTCTAAGAACCATTGCTGCCAGGATGAGGAGTTGGGGCTTTTATCCTCCTGTCCATGTAGAACAGGCACTGGGATAGGGACAGAGCCGAGTGGCAGGGTCAGGCACTGTAGCTGGGCGGTAGCGTGGAGAGTAAACCAAGGCAAGGATAGCTTTGTGCCTACGGACCACTTTACACCTATTGCAGAGGTCTCTCCTCTTAGAGAGGGGCTTTGGAGAGAGGCTGGGGGAGATGTGGCAGCTAAGTAACATGAAGCTCTAAGCTTCCCTTTTTGTCTAATTGTTAGTTGATTTGTTAAATATTTCATTATTTTTAGGTATTCTTAATGATACAGTGTTGCAATCCCTTATTTGTAATTCTGAAATCCAAAAAGCTGTGAAATGGAAAGTTTATTTGGCTCCAAAATATAAGCTGATCTGAATTTGTTTGGTGGTACAAACTTGCCCTGAACTGATGTGAAACTATTTTTCCGTTTTGTTTATCCTGCTTAGTGTGAAGATGTATGCATTTTGCTATAGAAACATCATTGCTGTTGTAGGCTCTGCTGGAACTCTCACATTGTGTGCATAATACATTAATTACCTTCCTAAAATCCAAAAGACTCTGAGTTCTGAAATGCATCTGGCCCTAAGGATTTCAAACAAGGGATTGTGGACTATAGTTATTTTATTTCTGAATGGATTTTTTACATATATAGACTATACTCTTTTTAGGAAATGTGAAACTAGCAAACATCATAGAAATTATAAAGAGCTCCTAAAATTCTAAGACAGTAAACAAGTACATCCTTTACATAATTCACCACTGGGAACAATTTCCACGTGTTACTTCTTTGCCATTGCACAAGGCAATTCAAAACCACAATGGCGTATTCCCATGGACCCTTGCGAGGACACAGTGCTTGTCATTTGCAGTAAGAGCTTTATGTCAGTCTGAAATTTACTGTTATCTCTAACATGTCGACCTAATAGATTTAATTTAGGGCTCAAGATACTGCAGTCACGTAGCAATATTAAAGAGAATAGGTTATGTTTCTCGTTTAAAGGTTTCCTCCTTTGGATCTGAAGAGTAGAATTACAGTCTCGCTGTGCACATATTGGGTATCCAATAAATATTTGTTAACTTTCCTGTGTTGGTGAAGTTTTCAACAATAGCGGGGAGGAGGTTTCTTGCTTGAGGTTTGTGACTTCGCTCGTGTTGTCTTTTCTTTCATGAATGACATATGACCCTTGTGGGTCCCCCAGAGAGTTGGATGTGACAACATCCTTGGATCCGATGCTGCGGAAGACGCTTGTGGTGTGTGCAAAGGAAATAACTCGGACTGCACGACACACAAGGGCCTCTATGCTAAGCACCACCGCACCAACCGTGAGTACGCTGGGGCTGCTGCAGAGGTTGAGGGAGGAGATGGAAGTGGACCTTCTTGGTGCGGAGAACTTGAGGGGTAGTGGAAAGAGCAGGCATTCAGAGTCCCGTAGTCCTATACTGTCTCCTTTCCTGCTTCCCGAATCACTTCTCTTCTCAAGTCGTTTGTTTTGATTGGAAGTGGTTGCTAGGTTATTTGAATTAAAATGGTTCTTAGGAATAGTGAAAAATTGCAATCGTTCTGCTGCAACTAAAAAAAAAAAAAAAAAAAAAAAAGCCATTTATAGGACTAATGTAGCTGGTTGCCAAAACAGATCTTGTCCCAGCTCCAAATGCGGAATCTCAAGCTCTGGTCATGGAGAAGGCAAGGTGCTTAGGGATTTTGTCTTGGCTTTGCCGAATGAAATATCCCGTTCTTCCCTTCTCCCATTTTCTTTCATTTAGAATATTATCAGATGGTCACCATTCCTTCTGGAGCCCGGAGTATCCACATCTATGAGATGAATGTATCTACCTCCTACATTTCTGTGCGCAATGCCCACAAAAAATACTACCTGAATGGACACTGGACCGTGGACTGGCCCGGCCGATACAAGTTTTCAGGCACTGCCTTCTACTACAGGCGTTCCTACAAGGAGCCGGAGAGCTTAACTGCTGCAGGGCCAACCAACGAAACGCTGATTGTGGAGGTACAATCCTGCCTCTTGGTTTCAGAGCTTGGATTGGGGGTCTTAATGGTATTTTTGTAGGTTCAAGGCTATTGGCATAATTTTAAGTACATGGAAGAATGTTTACAATTAGTTAATATATGAGAAACAAGACTAATCGATACATAGACTGAATAGGGCAGTGGACTTGTTTTCATCGTCTTTCATTTCTAGGTGCATGATTAAATTTATATTTATGCACATCATGTGGTTCCCATTTTGGGGTCTTTATCAGTCAATTTTTACAAAAGTCTGCTTCTCTGCTGTAAGCTGTGAGAAACAGATACTCTTGGGGGCTCTTTCTGTGCCTTTGTTTTGGGTGGGACCAGCATTCCACCGATCCTGGAAAGTTGGAGCAAGATGGGCACCCAGACCGAAGCCCCAGCTGTGTGGTCACATGGGCCCCAGTGCCCCACGGGAGGGTGGGCACACAACCACCTCCTGACAGCAAGCCTTTCTGTTTTCTACTCACAACTGCAGAGGCTCACAAGACACAGTTGGGCGTCTTCTGACAACATAATTTGTCCCCATGGCACTGGGCAGATGGTGGCAGCAGGCAGTGGATGTGCTAACTCTCTACCTTTTCATATTTCTGTGCACAGTTAAAGAAAAGTACTTGGTTCAAAAGTCGCCCCATCAGCTCGCACCTAAGTGTGCAGATGTGAGCGACCCAGATGCCCCCACCTGCCCTCTGGGCCGGGCAGCCCCCTCCCGTCCTCTTCTCTCTTCCGGAGAAGTGCCTCTCCAGGTGGTTTGGGGGCAGCTGCCTGCATCTCCACACGTCCCACCCAGCTCCTCTGCTGACCCTGAGCCTCTCCTTCTGCCCCTTGTTAACTTGTTCATCCTGAATTCTTGCCTTGGGTATTTGTCTCTTGCCATCTCAGGCTTTTAGCTTTAATAATCATGGAGAAAGAAAGAACAGTCAGGGTTGAAAATGAGCGTGGCTTACTCAGAACTGTTCCTGATGGAAGAAGCATTACAAAAGCTCAGAAGGTCAAGCAGGAGAGCATCTCGATGGCCTTGCAGTACAGCCATCCGTCCAGGGCTCATACCTGCCCTGTGACACCTTCACCACCTAGACTTGAGCTGTGTCGTGAGGGAAGGGACTGTGGTGCCAGGGAGTCAGGGAAGAGCCAGTGACTTTATCCCATGGAACATCACATCAAGGGCCAGTAAGGGCTCCAAGGCTCAGAGATGGGATTTCTATCAACAGGTTAACTGTGAGCTTTCCAAAAAGAACCTTCTCACCGAGATCAGCAGTGTGTCTGATACATTTATGGGGGAAAAGGTAATTAGCCCATGTGATCGGGTTTCAAGCTGGCAGGTGAAGCATCCAAGTGAAGTTCCCTGTGTTAGGCTGTGCCTCACAAGTATGCTCGGCCTGAGAAATCGTGTTTACCGGTCAGATATCTTTTCTTCTGGGTCTACAGGGTACGTGCCAAGAGGCAAAGACCTCTGCATCCAGTTACAGTAGAAAGTACTTGGAAGTAGCTTTGACCATGGCGTGGATGGTATCTACTTAAATGTCTGGGATGTTTGGAACTCACTAGGAAGTGTGATGGTGCTTTTTAGGTATTGCTTTCTCATTTGCTCAGATGGAGAGGACTTGCAGGGGATCCCAAGGAAAAACGGAGGGAAATATCCTTTTGTTAGGTTGCAAAGGTGTTTGAGGCCTCATATGGAGGAATACACTAAATGTAAGGCAAAAGAGTTGAATGTCTTTACATTTTTCTAGATGTGCTTGAGTCTAGTTGAGAGTTTGTTCCTGTTTGGAAAGTTAACATAAACTTTGAAGGATGGCCAGTGTTTATCATTGTAGTCAACTTTTTGTTGATATTATTGTTTCAAGTAGTTTAAAACAAATTAGCTTATATTTATTCGTTCTTCTTTAACTTGTTTTATTTTTCCCCTTTCTTATTTTGTAGCTTCTGTTTCAGGGAAGGAACCCAGGAGTTGCCTGGGAATACTCAGTGCCTCGATTGAGGGGTGGAAAGAAGCCCAGTGCCCAGCCCAGCTACACATGGGCCATCGTCCGCTCTGAGTGCTCCGTCTCCTGTGGAGGGGGTAGGTCACTTCTTACATCTCTCCTGGTGGTGGACGCAGAGGTGCCCAGGATGCAGTCCAGCCAGGGGGCATAGTGCATTGGTCCTCATCGTGTCCTAACAAGTAGCAAGAGGATGGCAGTAACGTTTCCAGAGGCAGAGCAGAGAGCAGTGGCCCTGAGTGTCACTTGAAAGCCTGAGTCACCTTCAGCCATTTTCTCCCAGAAAATATAAGAGTTCTGTGAAAGTTGCAGTAGCAATGACAAGAAACAACATGTCAAAAAGAATTTTACATGGTAATAGATATCTTTGTCATCTTAATACCATAAGAATTGTAAGCCCATGTTTAAATTTGTAAACCTAGTTCACTAGAAGAACATTTTTAGCCAGAGCCAGTACGTAATATCTGATAAAAGGTGGCAAGTAAATATTTGCAAATTTAGAAACAAAATACTAAGTTCTATCTGATATTTAAAAACCAGACAGATTTCCACGTGAACAAATGGATTTCAGCTTTGTGCATTCCAAGTTTTAGTAATTAAGAAATCAATTTAGACAGTACTATATTTAAGTTAAAGAATGTTACACAAATGAGAACTTGCATAAAGTGAGAATCTAATGAATGAAGAAAGAAAAAGGAACTCATACATTCTTGATAAAGAGATGATGAAAATAATGGAAAACTGATAGATTAACAAAAAGATGTTAGTCTGAAAAGTTATGGCTAATGTGCTTGACATATGTTAATTTTTCTCATTATAAACTAAGAATAATATATTTAAATCACATTTAAATTCTGACATTAAGAGCTTTCTAAGGAAAAATATGATTCCTGTCTGCAAAGGAGGATAGCAAGAAATGGTTCTAATGGTAACTTGAGAGAAATGTAGGGAATTGTAGACTGGTGGTGGGCTCAAATGAGCTGCTATTTCACTCCATTCAGAAAAAAGTGGAACAGAACTCTTCGTGGGCATCTCTATGTGTGACATGGTAAAATTGATTTCTAATCATACTTATCTCCCTTGCCCTCTCTTCTGGTCTTATAACCATACCCCATGCTTCTACGGATTACGTTGGATATGCTTGATTTTATCTGTCTCTACTTAGGGTTATTTAATAGTGTTTGATTAAAATAATCATTGAATCCTAAAGCCTTGTATATGTGTAAGGACATTATGATTTTCAGAACTCTTGTTCATTTTCACTTGGTGGAAAAAGTATAACGAATTACATGCAAACATCTGTAGAGGATGGCGAGCCGACGACTGTGCTTCATTAGGACAGTTTCACTCCTGTCTTCCCTTTGAGTGTCAGGCATTCAGAGGAATGCTGGCTGTTCTCAGCTGTTACCAAGTTACTTTCTCAGTGCCCTAAAAAACACTGAATGGATGATTAGCATTCTTGCAAGTCACCTAATTATCCCTAAGAAATAATTCTCATGTTGAGGTTTCTAGAGGGAGTCAACCTAAAATCAGTTGCCTACAGAATTGCATTATAGAGTCAGTGAATGTGTCATTCATTTTCAATTCAGATGGAAAAACCAGGGTTTCTCAATTTAACAGCTGGGTGGAGTGCAGGATGCCTGTCCTTTACCACCCAGTGTAGGATGTGGCTCCTCTGCACAGTCTTCCCAGTAGAAACCCAACCTGCCTGAGGTCCAGGGACTTAGCACCTAATCAGAGCACTCCCTCTCAGGCACCTGTGAACGATCAGGAGAGGACACCTGAAAATGGCAATCCCATGGGGCTTGAACTGAACTGGACCCTATCTTGTTTTAGTAAAAAGGTAAAAGCACACCCTCCCTCTCCCCTCTCTCCTCCCTCAGTGCCTCTAGGGTTAATTCTCTGTACAAGCAGGAAGAAAGTGAGAAAAGTATCCGTGTCGTTTGTTGAGCACCTGCTGCATGTTGTCACATACACTGTCTTGTCGAAACCCTCAACAGAGTTAAGAGTAGAAAGACCCCACACAGGCTGGCGGCAGCGGGATGAGGCTCAGGTCTTGTCTTCATCAAGGCGTGTTCCACAAAAGTTTTGAAACAGCTTTTCATATCTGTGAGGTTTTAAGATTTTATGACTGTCAGTTCCTGGAAGCAATCATTATTAACATCTCAGGTCTTGGTATTGTTATCCTTCATTCTGTAGATACCATAGGCTCGGAAGTTTGGGGAATTGCCCCAGATAACCCAGCAGGTAACTTGGATCCAACAGGTCCTCTGACTCCCATGTCCTGTTCTTCCCACCACCACCAAACTCCAACAGAACACTTCTCATGGGCTGGCATCTCTTCATATTCTTTAACAAAGATTATCCTACAAAGGAGGCACGATGTGTTTTCAACTTGCCGTCTTCCTTTCGTAATAGAGCATTTACTGATTAAGGGGAACTGCAGTCCCTTGAACCTAAGACTGAAATGTCCCCACATAGGAGGCGGCCTCACAGAGCAGGCAATGCTTGTGTTTCGTTGCCATTTCAACGCTAAGGCTTATCTTGTTCAGTCCCAGTATTTGACCTCTTTTGATCTCTGTTTGGTGGACTTGTCAAATCCTGACTGGATTCTCAAAGGAAAAGGAAAAGTATAAACAGCATTTTCATTTTATCTGCATATTTTATATTTTTAAAATCTCTACTGCCATGGACCTCCCAATATGCTGGGTTTGGAACCATTTAAAGTATTCTTTTCTTGGCTATCTCCTTGTGAATTTAACGTCTACAAGGGGATTTTTAAAGAAACCAGTTAGGGAATTATAAACTGGGAGAAGACACCTGGAAAATTCCCCCATGTCTGCTTCAATCAAGAAACATTCCCTGCTATCAGTAGAGGAGGGGCGGTTCTTTTTGATTTGAAGAGATCCCATCTCCTTATCTGTTCTGATGACCCAACTCTCCATAGAAAATAGGATTTCCTGACAGATATAGGGTAGATAGTGTCTTTCATCTTCTTTTCTGACAAGCTTCCTCTGCTCCTTTATCCTTTCCATTCGCTTTTATGATATAACCACATTTTTTATTTCAATAATCCTGCTTAGTGGGGCTTTGACTGGACTGTCAGTCAGTGTCTGGGGCATTGGTGACGGGGTAAGGACCACGCAATGAGGCACAAAGCCAATGGTATTGTTGAGAACCAGCTTAGCTGATTATGTCTGACTCTAAGACAGAGACTTTTGGACATAGCAATGACTTCACTAGACTCTTGTTTACAATGTAAAGGCATTAGCCGTTTCTCAAAATTACATATGCTCTAATTTTTAAAAGTCAGCCTCTGTGATTCAATTGGTTCAGTGTATTTCAAATAACTAAAATCAAACTTCTGATTTCTTCCAAATGAAAAGGCTTATTAAAATTTGGCCCATAGAGATGTTTTAAACTCCAGTATACTCGTGCAATGTCTGGAGATGATGCTTTTCTTTCAAATGAAAATATTTGTCTGATTCACAATTACAGTTCCTCAGACAAATCTTAAAACTGGCTTGTACACCTATGTCTCTTAAACTTTTCCAATAATATTTTCTTCACCATCTACAGATATTTCTAAAGTTTAAACTTTAATTAGTTCAGTGATTAGGTTTGGAAAACAGAATGAAATCATTGGCAACCTTGCTCTTATTTTCTTGATATCAAACCATTAATTCATTCACTTGTTCAGTCAGCAAATGTTTGCAGGTACCGATCTGAACCTTAAACTTCTTAAAGCCACGTGGGGAAAATGCAGAGACCTTTGCTCAATTCCCTCTGTCTCTGAATTGAACAGTGAAATGCTAACATAGTTGTCACTTTACGTGAACAATGTTTGGTGACTTGTTAGCATTATAGTTAATCAAAGCATAGTACATCTGTATATCTCAACCAAGGAATTGAGTACTTCAATTCAGCAATTCTTCCTTAATTGTGTGAGGCACTATGCTGAGTTCTGAGTCTCTAAAGAAAAATGATATATACTGGCCCAGTCCTCGAAAACATATACAATCTAGAGAAAGGAGTGACCATAAACACATACATAACAATGCAAGATTATAGACTGCGTCGTGTGCAAAAGCCTGTGAGGACTCGGAGAGGACCCCAGGAACGTGGCACAGAAAGAGTGACAGTTTAGCTGCACCTTGAATATTGGTCTCAGTCGGAGTTGGAGAGCTGAGACAGCTTTGAGTGGCAACATTGTTTTTCAGTTCATATTACTCATCTAGTTGGCTGAAATCTCTAGATCTTTTGCACAGGAACTGCGTGAAATTAGTTCTTCTCCATCCTTACTTTGTGTGCTAGAATGTTCCTAATCTTAGAGCAAGTGTACTCTGTCCTTTTTTAAACTTTATCTAAAGGGTTTGGTGTGTGCTTTTAGGTCTCAGAGACCAACTTGAAATGATTCTGGCTTTTCCCTCCCTGCCTTGGGTCACCTTTGAGGCAAGTTCATAAAAATGTCTTCTGTATCTTTGTCCAAGACCTTGATAAATTACAAAACACATTACCCCCTACTTTTGCCCCCTTAATCCCAAAAAGCAGAGGAAAGGGAAAAAAGGCTCATTTCCTGGAGAGGGGAGCATGTTCCTCAGAGGCCTGGGCTGTGTGATGGCCACCCCTGTCCATTCCTTCAAGTGCACTCAAAGATCCAGGGTAGAACGCACCTTTCCCCAAGGGCCAGGAATCCTTTCCCGTTTCCAGAGTCTCTCCAGGTCCTACAAACCTCCCCTCATCAGGGGCGTTGGGTTCAAGTGTCTATTGTAGCCCCCAACTCCTCTCACATTTCCATCCTGTGGTCACGGCCAGCTCCTCTCCATCTCTCTCCTGCTGTGGGTGAGTGTGCACACGTGGGTTTCAAGTCCTGCCATCTACTTCTCTGTTAACCAAACTCAGAACCTTAAGAACCAGTAATAACTATCTACAGCAAGATGAACAGCATGTCCCTCTGTCAATTTTGACACGTCAGTGCTCTCAGGGAAATCGGATAGTTGGGCCCATTCCCTGTTAAGCAGATCAGACGCATGAGGATGTCACGGGCTGTCCGTAAATGATTGTCATCATCGCCCTCCAA